AAAAAATCGATTGCTAAGTTGGAGTTAGTTCAAAATAGCTTCACTAGAAAAGTTTTTGTCCGAGCTCTTGGCTTTAATTATAATTCCAGGTCAATTGTCAGGAACAAGATCCTCGCAAGAGATTCTCTTGCGTGTCGGCGAAAGAAATTGGATCACTTAACTTTGTACAAAATTTTGATAGGCAAAATATCGATTGACATGCAAGGTTTATTCACCTTTCGTACGTCGGTCACGAGAGGGGGAAAATCAAAGCTAGTTCGGCCTTTTGCGAGAACCAGTATGAGAGCAAACTGCTTCACAGATAGGGCCTCTGCTGAGTTCAGTAAACTAACCAATGCTTGTATGAAACATTCCATGCTTAAGGGGTTGCCCCATTTCAAGCGAATTTTGTCCACATTTTATAATTGAGAGCTCAGTAGCCTTCTTTTTTTTATTACTTCATGATACTTAGAGGATAGTCAGGTACGTTTCTTTTTGTTTCTTACTCTCATTTTGTTGAATTTTTTTTCCTCAAATTTCATTCACTTATTTGAGGCGGTTGTGTTATTTGTTATTACGTTGCTATATGGACCTTTGTCCAGATTTCATGTACGTTTCGTGCATGTAATAAATAATAATAATAATAATAACAGTAATAATAATAATAATAGTAATAATAATAATAATAATCTATTGTTCCGATAGATTTTAAATAAAAATGACAGCTGAGTTGTATCAGCTTAGTTCTACCCATAGAGAGAGCATTACTTCATCCGAAGGCTTACAGCCAGACGAGCCATCCGACCGCCCCCTTTTAGAAGTGCATCGAGCTGCTAAATTTCGTGACCACATCTCAGGCACCCGGAACAAAAGGGTTCTATGTACACCCGTGTTCGGTTGAGGAGATGACGAAAAGTATTTACTTGCATTAGTATTTCTCGTGTTCCATAAATATGGAGGACTGTAGGTGTTCTATATGATGCGTAAGTATTTTACAAGCGTTAAAGGCACTTTTATAAAAAGCGATACAAGCGCATGTATAAAGGGTTCGAAACTCCGTGCCACGCCTACCAGTCTACCGTACTCTCAACTTTGCCATCGCTGCACGTTCAGCACTGCTTGGTTCTCGTATAAGAGCAACGAATTGGCATGACACCTGGGGAAACTGGGCCCGTAACTCTTTTCACAAATTGAATTTGGTCGGTGTAAATCTCATCCTTAATGGCCACTGCGACCTAGAATCCTTTCCCATGAGTACTTGACTACCGATCCATTCTCTGCCAAGATCAATGGTACTGAGCTCACACAGATTACCATATAGAAGTATTTTGAAACAGCAACTGCGTTTGATGAAGCCTGGTTTTTGAAACGTTTCCTCGCATGATGCAGGGTGATTGAAGTGGCGCTCTATGAGAGACATACTCGGCGATGAAAATCTGCCTGATCGTCTCAAATCCAAGATCTAGAAAAACCTGGAAAATCATCCGGTCGGCCGCAATTAACAGCGCTGAGTGCTGGCCTACGACCAAAGAAGCTGAAGCCCGTCTCAGTGTAATGAAGACCAAGATGCTGCGCTAGCTGGACAGCCGGAGTAACACGACTAGACTGGCAACACCGAATGGCTTCCTGATAACGTCATTACTTACTAGTCGAGTTACTCCCATTGCCGGTAGAATGCGCGAAGCCCGCCTCCGATGGTATGGTGTTCTTTGTGCAAACGATGTCAGTTTCCGTAAGATCGGTCTCAACCTTGACGTATCCGGAAAGTAGCCTGGAGGACACCCAAAGCAGCGATAGCTCGATACTTTGCACGAAGTCTTGAAAACGCTGAACATCCACCTCGATCAAGCTTTTAATTTGCGAGCAGTGGCGTCAACGTATTAGAAAAGCGGACTCCGCCTACAAGCGGGACAGGCGCTAAAGAATAAAAAGAAGAGGACTCTATGTATCACGGCATCACCGTGGTAACATTTCCCATTGCATCAGTTGATCTCAAGAACTTCTTTGGTAATTTTCGAATTAGCAGTGTGTACAAAGACTGTACACCCATTGCACCGAAAGCGTTAGCTGGAAGTGTCATTACATTTACATCAGCGCATTTCCGGCTTTGAAAGTGAAGGCTGCTTACTTCGGTCCGTAGAGCTTTGATGTAGGATCGCTCTGTGATTCGAAATGTGGAATTGAAATCAGCTTCCGAGACCACCTACGTTCTGTTCCATTTTGAATGGCTACTGTGAACAAATATCCTTCGCTTTTGTGTGTTTCGTGCACCCCGCTTGCATGTTGATCATTTTGAGATTGAGCTTCATTATTTGCGCCTTCAGCGATGTTCATGCAAATGTGTGTCTAAAATTTATTGACCAAATTCTATACTTTCTTGCAGAATGTAAGACCTGTACTGTAAAGGCACAATCTCTGCGATAATATGACAGCTATCTTCCTATATACATATCACAAATGCCATGTCACAAATGCTCGAAGGCTTACACTGCTTAGTAAGGCCGTGAGTTACTGCTGTGCAAGTGCAATCGAGATGAAAAAATATTTCTTACACAAGAAGATACTTATAGTAATCAAGGTTCAATTTCTACAACGAGGTCGCCAGCTGCACATTTGTCTCCCTTCGAGAGGTGAACCGCCTTCACTGTACCAGCAATAGGTGCATCGACCACCATTTCCATCTTCATGGCTGATAAAACGAAGAGTGGCTGTTTCTGGACAACCTGTATGAAGAGGTTGTCAATACTACTACTTAATAATAACGATACATGATAACATATATGTGTTATCAAAAAAAGACACGTCGCATCTAGCTACAAATGACGGTGAAACACCTTTCTCCACTGTAGCATTGTTTTTTTTTTTGTTTTTTCATTGCATCTATGTAGTTGTTGCGATAATCTGTTACGGACAACCCCACTCTGCCCTCAAGAAAAATTCAGTACCAGCTCAATTTCCCAGATTTCTCTGCAATTCAAAATACTAAAGACTAAGTCGAGACATTTTGACACACTGTTTTTTTCGTGAAGAAAACAGCATGTGCTGTGGGCGCGTGCTAAGCTAGTGAAACGCGTTGTGGAGCTTACAGTAACAATGACTGCATAAGCAATGAACAATCATCGCTAAACCGGTGAATACTATCCGAAAAAAAGTAGGTTATGTAGTTAAACAGTAATGATAGCAAGACGAGTTATTTGCAAAGGGAAACGTGACTGAAGGAACTGCTCAGAAAAACGAGGAGGGCGAACAGTCTCGGTCTTATGATGGTGGTCCGTCTCGAACGATAGTGAAAGCAGACAGTCGTCAAAAAAAGTACCATTTCATCACGACGAGATTTTGGTGTTCATCTTCGAACTCTTCATAACTTATACAATCAAACCAGATGTTTACTTTGAAAAGAGGACATTTGAATGGATACATCACTCAAAAATGTCGGTAACACTTTTCGTTGAAGAGTAGTGTTTTGTACAGACAAAGCGCAATTTAAATACCAGTACGCCTCCTCCCCCAAATGTTAGAACCCTTATTTTCCGTCTACGGATTTCCTATAGTTTCTTCTCAGAAATCTTTTTCCTGCTACGACAATTAAACTGAACATTTGAGCTGAATCACATCGAAAAACGAACTCTTTTCAGCTTCCGTTTATTAAACTCGGATCTTCGCGTGAGAGCAGGGCTATGAACTATGTCATGACTTTTTCGACAACCCATCTGTTTTTCCCATCACACTTACACGGAATACGAGCTGCTGCAGCTAGTAGTCATTGATAAAACAGCGAATCAAAAGTGTATAGTGTATTTTTCACCTAATCTTGCCATTGCCTCTCTCCTTGTTGATACTGGTCAGTCTATGTACCACATTTGACGTGATCGTGTTGTACTGGAACACTACCCGAGAGATAGAACTGGAAATATGGTAGAGGAACCAAATCGGACGTTCCCACTATAAGCCGGGTTCGAGTCCTGCCTTCAAAGCCCCACAGCCACTTGTCCTCCTCAAATCCCATTCCCTGTCTTGCCCGAGGTTCTTTCTCGATGTGTCGCTTTGAAAAGGATTGGCGTATATTTCGAATAAGGCATTGTAGAATGAAATATGTGTGGTCCTTAAATTTCTACTTCTATGGAAGTTTATTTCACCATCACTGTACGAACTGGACCTCCTTCTTGATTTTGCTCCTGTCACAGAGCATATGCCTGCTTACAACTCGTGCCTGAAGTGACAGTGTTCGCTAATGACTGAGCACTACCACCGCTTGCATCTTTAAATGTAGCGCAACCGTCAAAAACCCAAAACAAAATATAAAATGGTTATCGAGGAGAGCTGAATCAAACACTCACTTTGTCGCCTTCCTTGACCTTTAGCTCGAGAATCTCACCAGGCATAGGAGCAGAGACAGAACCTTTAACACCAGCGAGAGCCTTCGGTCGCGATGCTGTTTCCTGGAAAATTATTGACGATCATCGATCCCATCAAACGCATGAAATTGGTCTTGCTCAGTACCCGCCGCAGAGTTCATCAGCTTTTTGTAAGAAGTTCACGACCTTGAGAATTCAACTTGTACCCTGATTGACATTGTGATGTGCTTCTTTTTTTTAATGATCTACCTAATAAAATATTGGGGATTTGGTCCACTATTTATGGTCCCAGTTAGCGTGTAATAAGAAAACTGCACGTGTACCAGAAGACGTGACTCGCTCTCAAAAAAAAAGTTCTGTCGCTCTATGAGTTTCTGAGTGACTTCTTTGTTCTTAAAATCATTAAAAATTGTTTGTTCCACGAAAGCAGCTAAAGAAACCTATGAGTAAGGTCTTTCGAGGTTGATTGTTGGGATGCGCCCTCGTTTTCGCTTTCCATTCAGAATCGTATTGACGTCATGAATGCGTATTTGGGCAAGAAAAGAACTGTGGTGGCAATGCGATAAAAAAACAGTGATTTACCTTCCCCTACGAGCCTGTTATCAAATGGTCGCGGAAGGATGGGAGACCTGGTGGGCGTGTTGTGTACTAACCTGGGATTCGATTCCTGCGCCAAGCGTGTGATAGCAATATCATCTCCGCCCCACCAATTACATGTGGTAATACATAGCAAAGCGGCTTCAATAACAATAGTTGTTCCAATAACAAGGATAACATGAGTAACAACATGAGGAATTTTTAGCATTTCTATTTTTCGCTAGAATCTCACGGCAATGATGTGAGAGAGTACTTTTGCCTTACGAGACCTATGTTACACCACACTCTAAATGCGATTACCTTGGGCTATTCTGGTAGGATTCTAAGAAGGAGGAAAGGCTCGGTTCTTGCCTGGGGTTGCCTCGCGTGAAGAACGGTGTTCTGATGAGCGCTCACCTTTGAAGCCTCCTTATCTTTAACGAACAAGCTTCTCATCTGACCGTTGAGGTGGAAGAACACTTCACGTTCCCCTTTATTCTTTAACTTTCTTTCAGCCAGGAGCTGGATAGTAAGTGTCTTTCCCTTCTCAATTTCAACCTGAAATCAACTAATCAATGCAATTCAATTGAACCAGTACAAAATCAAGCAAGATGAAAGATGGTAAGAGAAGAAGGCATGTTACTATCAGGATGTTCGTAAAGTACCTGCCAAAATACGGCAAAATATGCAAATATAATAACATGATTTCTTAATCACATTTGAGCATCAATCATATTTCTCCCAACATCAACTATCTTACACAAACATTCCTCAGAGTCACGTCTCAGTTTTTTTTTCGATTTCGAGGAAAGAAGGGCCGAAGCTCCTGTTTAAGTGATTATGTTTATCCCAGCGCTTCTTTTCCATGTGATGCCGAAGGGATCAAAAGAGGTGGTAGTCGCCGAGGCCGTTCAGGTTGTACGATGGGCGTGCAGGAGTTCCCATTAAATCTCCAGAGTTTTTTTTGTAAAGTCTGTGTGCGATACGAGGGAGCGTAGTCGTGCAGCAAGCAATCCCTGTCCAGCTTAGGTTAACCCTTACGCATCTTTTCGGCTAGTCTTGGCGGTTCCACACAGTAACCACCGTGTTATCTGGCAGTAGCACAACATGGTAGAGTTCAAGAACTCAACACTAGACAGCACGTCGCTTTCTTATGGATTCCACCTTTGACCTATGATTCGAGGGTGTGATCGATAGAAAGGACCCACTTTTCATCCCCTATAACGATAGTGTTCAGTCAATGAACGGTGCAACTTTCGAAGAGCTGCAGAAATCTAAGCTCGATTACGATTGCTGTCGGTCAGTTCATGTGGCAGCCGTTGACCGAGCTTTTCACCATTCAACAGATCGTCTAGTAACCTGGGGTGATAGCAAAACACAGATTTCCTACCCATGAGTGCTGCTCAATTAGTTTTTTCAGATTGTATAGAGATTTCGCAGAAGGTCGAAACGAGCGGGGCTCATATTCGGTCCCTCCTCCCGGTTTTAAAGCATTCAAAGGAGGAGCGCACAGTATCGTCGTCTACGGCGACAATCCCCCTATACCTACATCGTCGTCTCACCGTCTGAGACGATTCAATAACTGAACCCACGTCCCTTAATGGTGCTGGGTCAAGCGGACCCGAGATAAGTGGGTCCGCAGTCCTCTTCCTTGAGTCGTCAAAGCAAGACGTAAGTTACCACCCTTACAAAGTACTGTTTACCATTATTGTGTGTTATTATAGCGGTAACGTCCGCACTTACTCTTCTGTTGTGANATATCCACTGAACCACCCGCACACACAGGTTGTTCAGAAGGAGGGGGTTTTAGCCGGACGGACATGTTATGCGTATAGGCGGAGAAGCGTCGTAACATATAAGCCTCATGGAGGCTTCTGGACAAGCCCAGTAGGTGATCGGACTAGTGCACAACTTTCGGCAGATACTTTCCGCATACCCCGGCCTCACACTTTGCCGTTACCATAACTGCAAAAAAATGCGTCCCATTTTTAAAGGACTTGTTATAAAGATGAAATGTTTCAGGAATTTAGCGTAAGTTCATAGTACTGTTTCGGACTAATCGCCTATTTCGCGGTGTGTAGGGACCAAAACTCAGTACTTACGTCAACTTCCTCTGCGATATCCAGTCCCTTGAAGAATATTCTAGTAGGAAGCTTGTCGACTGGTCCATATGCAGTGCGGAATTGCTCGAATTCATTGAAGACCGCAGGGAACATAGCGTGGGACATAACATCATGTTCTCTGAAAAAATTTTTTAAGGAAGCCGCTTATACTATAATACAATACATCAATGTACCTCAGAGTTCGTCCGTGNTTTGCTTCCAATTCGGCTTTCGCTTTGGCGAAATCCATGGGGAACATCATCTCACCAGCTCTTCCTCTCAACTATACTTTATAAAATTGAGCGCAATCATAAATAGAAAAACAATCTGAAAAATGAGATTATGTAATATCGTTTTCCAGCGCACCTTTGGTTTTCCACGAAGGACCTTCGTTCGAAGAGGCTCTGGGAAGCCGTATGGAGGCTGTCCTATGTTACCCTGAAAGTTCGGTAGCAAAGGTAAACTGCTTTAAGCAGCCTCAATTCAATATATATTCTAATTTCATTAGATATTGCCGTTGGCTGCTCGATATCTATTAACCATTGGTAACGCCGCCCGCCGTCATAGCCTAGCTGTCGGGGGTCCAGGCAGTGCGCGTCGGGCGGCGGCAATGTGCTAACGCAAGCTTTGAAGGAAGCCATTTTTAGGTCTCAAAAAAAGTAAACAAAGTTCGTGTTCGAGACAAAAAACAAAGGCTAAAATTACCTGCATGTAATCAATAATACTCTTGGGGAAGGATAAGTCATCAGCACGATCAACTAAAGTCTCACGGGTAAGGTTGTTCTGTACCATGAACTGCGCCAGATCACCGACTATTTTCGATGACGGAGTCACCTGTGACACGTTTATCAAAAGATCGTAACTATAGCAGAAGAGAGAAAATGAGCCTTTATCACCATACCTTGACAATGTCACCAAGAGCTAGGTTGGCTTCTCGATACATTCGCTTCACTTCGTCAAACTGATTGCCAAGACCGAGTGAGAAAGCCTGAATTTTACAATAGGATAGATCAGACTGTAGAGTTTTTCAAAAATAAGGAGAAGCACAGCAGCGAAATTTGGAGAAATGTATTTATACCTCAATTCTTGTCGTTAACAAAGGACAAGGAAACAAAACAAATGTATAGGCCTTTTCTACAGTAGGATAATAGTCGGATCACCCGTCTAGGCTCGAATGGTACAGCAGAAACAGCATGCCTCTTCGCTCCAATTCCTATTGGTGGCAACGTTGAATGCCCGACTAAGGCTAATCCTCCCTGTCGTTTACAAATGACTTAATATTTTCGATAATAGAACTTATAAAGGGGAAATTTCGTGAGTGGGGCGGGCCCACAAATGTGACACGAAAAGAGAGAGCGAACAATAATCATCCTTCTAGGATATAGTTCCTTTATTTATTTTTCAACTAACTGGTCAAGCTACGCTCTACAGATGAGAGACGAAACTTGAAGTGACCTTTACCACTGTTGTTGACAAATAAAAACAATACCAACGATAAGGGACCGTAACACCATCATGGCACTCATTTCGTAGTCGAACAAGTTTTGTAGCAGTTGATTAAAAAATGAAGCATGAAAGTGTCCTTCCACATGTTCCGCTTGAATTTTCAACAATGACGCGTAGCGGCCGTGGTACACACAAATGTTATCGCCTGTTGCCACCTGGCTAAACACCGATCCCCCCCTATTCGTCCGTATTGCGGGACAAAGTAAATCAGAGTGGACCCTCCTCACTGGAGGACCCAAAGAAAATCACGAATGATTTAAAAAAATGCAAACTATTCCTTTTGTTAAGACCTTTCGTGAAGAAGCATGACAAGCAGTGGATCGGATGGAGCAAGAAGTGGATTGCCTGCCAGTTCAAGTGGATCCAGTAGTTGACAGTCGAGGTTTTTATTCCACGTTCACCTCATAATAGCAAGACGAGTCTGACTCAACTGATAGTAGATTCCACGGTGTTCCCGTTAGTGTGCCTAATCTTCATTTTTTTTCACGGAACGCGGAACTCCAGAAGTTTCTATGCTATTCATGAAAATTCTTCGCGCTAAAGGTTCTGCTCTTAATACCTACTGCCTACAGATTAGAATTGGGTGCAGAATGAATGAGTTTGCTGTTTGTGACGCTGATGGTGCTTATGGTAGTAAGGGTTGTGGTGGAAAGTTGGGGTATCGACGAGGGCTGCCCCTCGTAGGTTGGAGGCGATAACTCTGGTTTTGTCGGAAACGGATATTACTTTTTTACGATGCTTGCTCCTCTATGTAGTCCTCTTACAGATTCATCCCTTCAAACCACTTTCTCCAAGTTGACGGTTATTTCCCATAGAATCATGAGATTTTGTACATAAACTGATGAGTCCTCACGAAACGCCTTTAAATGATTAGGGATACCCGTTGCTGAGGTATTTCGTCGTCAGTGTAAGAGGCCTTCATCAAGACAAAGAAAGCGAGGTGATAGCGCATCTGACCCTCGCGAGGCACGACAATGTGATTCATTACTAACTGTGTGGCTGTGATCGTTCGCACTGAACCCCTTGCGAAACGTTTACTAATTCCACTGGCTGCTTTCATAGTCCGTCGGCCGGCCCGCGAGCGAGCGCGCGCACCGGCAGGGGGCAGCGCTTGCCCCTGCCGGCGGACTGTAAAAGCAGCCACTGTCGTTCACCCAGTGTTCCAGCAATCGAGGGTGTTAAAAAGCTTATATGTAGAATACAGATAGCAGGAAAACAGGGCGACCGTTGCCAATATGGTCTATGCTTCCACTTCCAAATAGCAGCACAGTACTGCTCATCAGGTTTCTCGTGAGGGAATCTAAAGATTCACCACTGCTTTCATAAACAGAGCTTACAAGTACCATCAAGTGAAATTTCACACAAGGAAAATAATTTCATTCTTAACTCAAGGCCTTTCGGGAAAGACATTCATCAAACTGTACCCATAACGACTATTGAAAAAGACCGTTCTCTTTCTCTGAGGTGTGTAATAAACGGAAAAAAAGAAGAAATCAAGAGTACCTGGAATTGCAGATTAGTGTATTGTCCTCCTGGAATCTCGTGTTTATATACGTCAGCATTTCCACTCTTCATGGTAACAGTACATTCGAATGGACCGTACAGTAGACGCGCCGATTCCCAGTAGGCAGAATACTTCGAGATTTCGTCCAAGCTAAGTCCTGTGAAAGTTTTTCTTTACCAACACTAAAGGTTCCATAAAAATTAATAGCGAACATCACGAAGACCTGTGTCATATGGCGTTCCTTGGAGACTAGCTACAATAGCACCCATGCTCGGCTGACTTGTCATGCCACTCATACTGTCAACAGCTGCATCGACAACATCCGCACCAGCCTTAAATTTCATTCACTTAAAACTACATCCAACGCCAAACTCAACTTTCTTTCGAGAAATACATCATCAGCGGTTCAGCAGCGACTATTCTGATGTTGAGATTTTCTGAGATCAGGCAGTTGACATACCTTGGCACACTCGAGCATTGCAGCAACTCCAGCTCCAGAAGTGTCGTGTGTGTGCACGTGGATTGGCATATCAGGGAATTTGTCCCTCAATGCCCCAACTAAAAGTTTGGCGGCCTCTGGTTTCAGAAGACCTGCCATATCCTTAACAATCGTTTCATTTCTCGAGTGGGTGGAAAACGAAAGAGAGAGTCATTCAACTCGTCATCGATCTGCCTACCTTGATGCACAGTACATGAGCTTGTGCTTTGACAAGTTGTTCAGCCAAGTCCATGTAATACTGAAGATTGTACTGTGTCCTCGTTTTATCCGAAACATCACCGGTGTAAGAAATTGCCGCTTCGACCTGAAGTTTGAGAATATGGGGCAGCGATAAACGAGCCGGCAAATGCCCCACGATTATGCCGCATTGGTTGTTCACCCACCACACCACCAGCTTTGCCAACTGCTTCCATACCAACCACCAAATTTGGAACATAATTGAGACTGTCAAAGACACGAAACACATCCATTCCTGACTTCACCGCCAATTCGCAGAACCTGAAATATTAAAAAATACGTCAAAGAATATTGATCAGGAACCCCGTCTCTAGTCGAAATGAGGTTCCTGTAAAGTTTTCGATTACCAAAAATATGAACACTCACTTGTGAAGGACGTTGTCTGGGTAATTGCTATAACCGACGGCATTCGCTCCTCTGAAAAGGCATTGGAATGGAATATTTGGAATAAGCTGACGAAGCGTCTCAAGTCGTTCCCATGGGCATTCGTGTAGGAAACGCATTGTAACGTCAAAAGTCGCACCTATCGAAACAATTATGAAGTGCAAAAAAGAAAACATATTGTCAAATCATTGTTGATCATATATTATTATTAACATCATTTAGTACCTCCCCAGTTCTCCAGTGAGTACAAATGTGGGAAAGAGTGACACACGAACGGTGCTATTTTCGCCAGATCGTATGTACGAACACGAGTTGCGAGTAGAGATTGATGGGCATCTCTGCAAAAATACTGCTGACTTAAGATTATTCTTTTTTACGTCCCTGGAAAATGAACACATGAGCCAGTCGCTTAGAATTTATTGGGTCGTCCGGAAAATCTCCGGACGACCCAATAAATTGGCCCGGCCAAAAGTGATGGCGTTGTCTTCCAACAGGATAACTCCAGACCACATGTATTTTTGGTCATTCGTCAAAAATTGCTAGAGCTTGGGTGAGATGTTATATCAGGCCCACCATATAATTTAGACATAGCACAATCAGACTATCACTTCTTTTGCTTTCTACAAAATCTTTCGAACGAAAAATTGTTCAATCCACTAGAGGACTGCAAAAGCACCTGAGAGTGTTTTCCGGTTCTAAGTCTTGAACCTTCTTTGAAAGTGGGATAATCAAACTGATAGGAAAGTGGTGAACCTTCACTGAACAGAATGGACGAAGTGTTGTTTAATGAATGGATTTGATCTTCTAGAAATGTTCCTTATGACTCAAAAATCGGCGGAGACTTTCCAGACAACCCAATACGTATACTTCATCTCATGAGGGCAAAAAATTGTGCATCTACATTATTGGCCTAGCATCAGCAAAGTCTAGCACATTTATAAAATGCTACCGGAACGTAGTGTCAGTGATCATGCATCCAGGTGTCCGTCGTACCGCTCGAGCAAACGCTTCTGGACCGTCTTTGACGAGAATCGAACGGAGACCAGTGGGAGGTGGTGACCCTGCAATCTCACTTTTTAGTCGAGTCAAAAACGGTGGGACACCTTGAGCCCTAAAGCACTCATATTGCAGCGCAATGTCTCGGAAAGTCAAAGCTTTTGTTACTGCAGCCATGTCAGAACTCACATTGAAGGCGATCAGGCATACGTTTTTGCATGATCTTTGTCGCGCCCAGCATGCCATAGCTTCACACAATTCAACACTAAACTCTCCTCTGATACAGCTCAAAAGTTAGAATCTCACACCAAGAACCCACTATTAGAAAACTAAGTAAGCAAGACGGTTCACATTCTTTAAGCTCTTTTAAGAGGTGTTATCAATGAGGAACTTTGACGCCTACATTCATAATCCGGTTGCGCCGACATCTCTGAACAACGCAATACTGAAGGTCAACAACACGTTCGAAAGATCAGGAAATTGTATAAGAGGTTGATATAGTATACAATGCTAATGCTGGACCCATACGGTAGCGCGCAAAAGTATTCGGCCAAACGCTTTCACGTTTTTTCGTTCATAACTTTTTTCTTAATGGAGCAAATCGCGCGAAATTTTGATATGTTTAACTGAAGCATATTTCACACCATCCCACCCTATTTGACAGCAGAGCAGCAATATCCACATAAATAAGAGCAGGGTGTTTTTTTTTGCGGTAACAGACTTCGCCATAAGCAAAGTTATTGACGTTTGCAGTTATTCGCACCTTATGTGCGTTTTTCTTCTCTTCTGTGTTCGGCATTAGCGTTCGTACACTTTAGACATGGCAGAAAGGAAAGAAGTCTCAGATGGACCATTACTTGCATTTCCAGCTTATTTTGAGTTCAAGCTCTTTGGGATACCTGGAACATGATTGGACTACAGGTTGATAGTGGTAGCTATTCACAAAACACCCATGCTACACATATTGAAATTTCGCATGATTACTTCCAGAAGGAAAGGAGTTACGCTGAAAAGTACAACTGAAGAAGCATTTCGCCGAATACTTTTGAGCGCTACTGTATATACGTTTTCTTAAGGAATGAGTAGTAATCGACATACCGGGACGTGTATGAGGTACTGGTGGATCGACGTTAGCTGGTTTGAGGTCAGTAGCGAGCGGTGTTGTAGGGCCATTCACCTGTTCGTTGTGATGATGAAGATAGTTCCTCAGAGAGCGATCGACGAAGCCAGTTTTGAAATAAAAGACTGACCTGCACTTCTGCTAAGTAACTAAGAAGCTTTTGAGCGCGATTTTGAGATTGTTTGAATTTGAATAAATCCGGGTTGTCGTCAATAAGGTAAGTATCGACAGATGCATCCATAAATGCCGGCAGTTGAAGAACATTGAGCAAAAATGGAATGTTGGTCTGCAAAAGCAGATTTGTTTCCAGCACAAATTTCACACTGACCCAGCATTAAACAACCTTGACTCCGCGAATTCTGAACTCCTTCAGTGCTCGAATCATCTTGGCACAAGCGTTAGGGTGGTTACGATCGGATGCAATAATCTGAAAAAAGAGCCAGCAACTTTGAAAAGAGATTACCCAAGTATTTGAGCTCGTTGCATAACATATGAGTCTTCTGCTGGTTTTGAGTACAAATATAGAGGTTTTGGACCCTCGATTGAAATTACAAACTTGCTTGTAAACAAACCTTTACGAGAAGGGAGTCGTAGAATGGAGAAATCACTGACCCAGCAAACGCGGAAGCTGAATCAAGACGTATTCCCATACCTTCCCCAGATCGGAATACCTCAAAAACTCCTCATTTCAGCGATATCTAAGCGTATAGAAGTCTTGAAGCAGCAACACCTCTATCCTGCCCGAGTCCGGCTGGAAGTCTCGAGCGGGATCTTCCGTTGTGACACGACATTGTATAGCGGATTTATGGGGCACGATAGTCTCCTGTGATAGTTTGAGATCATCTAACGTTTTTCCTTCGGCTATTCTCAGCTGAGCTTGCACAATATCCACCCTTGAATAGAATTTGACTTGTTATCACTTTGCAAAACGCAGGGCCCAAAGAGGCTGACGACAACATACCCAGTGATTTCCTCGGTTACTGTGTGCTCAACTTGTAGACGAGCGTTCACTTCGATGAAGTAATAGTTTCCTTTCTGATCAACTAAGAATTCTACGGTGCCTGAAGAAAAAAGAACATGTAATAACGTTAAGTGGAGCTGTGATAACACTTAACGTTGTATAGACCAGTGACTATCTCTCTCATTTATAAAGCAGGAACTTGGTGTGTTTGTTTGTAAGCTTATAAGTTTGTTGGTTTGTCGGTCTATCCGTCCGCAAAATTTATGATTACAATAAAGATAGTGATATGAAGAACCTAATTCCACTCTGTACTTCCTTCTTATGTAAAAATCGGTGGGTGGTAGGTTGATGGAGTGGAGTGAGTACTGCGAAATGAAGTGAGTGATGAGGAGTAAAGTGGATCTTCAAACCTGTGATTTCGAACTGCATCGGCATTTTGCTATGTATATCTTTACGAAAATCGGAGGTGACACCTCCGCTTTTTTCAACATAATTTCAACATAAGGAGGTTAGCCCATAATTGCGCTTGTTAACGCTTCTTTGCCGAAAACATACTAACTTTTTTTGATCTGAGCTCCAGAAGGAAAGGGGCACGAAGGGGACGAGTCAGTTGAATATTCAACTCATACCCCTAGATTTTGGACGAGGTACTCATTTCGCCCCTACTCCGCCGCTCCTCCCCTACTAAGCTTGAAACCATATTCTCTGGGTACGGTCAGGTTGGACACCCTCCTCTGCACTCTAGCCCTCAATGTTGTATAGAAGCTCCATCCCCTAACTAAGCTTCGTAACTAATCGGTGAAAGTAATGAATGAGGCCTGGCGTAAGCCGGGCGACCCAACTGTTGAAGAAAAAAGTGTATGTACCTGCGTTTTGATAGCCTACATGTTTGCCGAGTCGCACAGCATCATTGAGAATATTTTCTCGAATAGTTGGATCCAGAGCAGGAGCCGGAGCAATCTCTATTACCTGTAAAAAATGATAAATGGCATCATACATCACATTATTCCACTACTAATACTAAGTACTTTCTGATGCCGCCGTTGCACGGAACAGTCTCTTTCGTGCAGATGGACTAGATTACCATGATTATCACCTGCAAAACGTAAAACAAGATCGAAGGAAAACAAGGGGNGGGGAGATCTAATCTCACGATGCAAATTTTGAATAGATTAAGTCTGAAAGGGAGTCAGGATCAGATCACTCAAATGTCTAAAATAGCTTCATCATGTATGTAGCTAAATCCTTGAGTAATTCACTGTTCGAGCCTTTGTTATTATAAGCAACTAGATCCCAAACTTAACGAAAGCCTTGTTGGTGACCTCCAATTTTTTTCTAGCAATGAGCAAAACTGCAGAGAGTAATACAAGAAAAATTGCACTGGTATGCAGCTATAAACGACAGAAATTCTATCTTACAAAGCCTGCATCTGTACATAATAAAGGCATGCTGACAGCTGAAATGAACATTAGCTGGCCCCGCAATTCAAGATTAACCCATTGACGACCATGCAGCCCATATGTGGACTGCACTTTTTCGGAGACATGGGACCGTGCACCCCACATGTGGACTGCAGTTGTATTTCTTGTTTCATTCACCTATATTTCCATTCTTTTTTTTTACCATTTTTCTTCTCAAAACATTACATCAGGCCTAAATAAAACTACATACAGCGTGGTCCTAGAAGAACTTCTAGTTTTGCAATTNTAAAGGTGTTTTTTTTCAAAAGGGTACATTGCCTTGGTGAATTTTTTGTTCGTTGAACAACCTCGAAAAATGAGATATTATTTCAAAAATACGGTTGTCATTAGCATTTTCGCTGTTATCGACCGAATGCAAAGCTCGTAAAAGTTCCCCAAACGATTTTTGGAAATGATTGAACTCATAATTGAGTGACCACTAGAACGAACGCCGTTTCTATAATGAAAATCAATAATCACTCGATGTGGGCATTCCTACCGATCCCATTTGAAGAAACATTCCGAAAAACTTTTAATTTCTCTTATAAACTTCAAAAAATGGTCATGTGGACCATGAAGTCCACATATGGGCTGCAGTCGCGAGTGGACGAAAAGCGTGCCAGTCCCTCGCGGCGCTTTTCCCGCAAAACGTCATGGTCGTCAATAGGTAAAAGCTTGAAAAACTTCCCTTGATTTGATAAGAAGAAGTTATCGAAATAAGAGTGGTAGCATCGAAAAGCGAAAATAGAGAATGGTTGGATATGATGAGGCTAACATCTGATCTGACTCCCTTTTCATTTCATGCATCCTCCTATCAGTTTGGGTCTTTTCCCTAGCAATTATGATGCAAAGTCCGCTGTTCTTATCAGTCGTGTCCATTTCTTTCTATCTGCGATATCTTTTCCCTTGAGCTTCGTTTCGACTACGAACTTTGATCACGTTCGCCATCTTTCCTTGGGGCTCCACGTGGCCGCTTCCCTGCAGCTTCCATCGGTGCCCTTCATGATGGATCTTGTGGTTTCCTTCTTACAATCATTACGTGAAGGTACTATCGCAGCCACGGTTCTGCCATCTTCAGCCACAGAGGGGATGTTAGAATGAAAACCCTCGTCCCCGTTTTTTAAACAGTGCAGTCGGGTTCAACCGGTTTTCCTTTGAGCGACCTGGACCGCCGTCGGTAGCAAGGGGATACCTGTGGACTCCTTCCATTTCATCCATGTCGCAATTACTTGAGCATTTACAGCCTGGTCCACACTCTCCTCAGCAGACAGGTCACTTGTAAGACATCGGAAATCCTGCATTCTTACGATGGCTTTCTTAAGACAATCTACGACTGGTTCCGTGTTGTCCCCCGAACTGACAAATTTGATTTTTTCAACGTTGAGCCGGAGTCCGTTTTTCGTCAGGACCTTCTGCCATTTCTGCAGCTTGTGCTGGAACTCTGGAACTCACAACAACGTCGTCAGCGTAAAAGATGAACTTCAAAGTTTTATAGAAGAGTTATTTAATATGACATCCTATGTTAGTGGAAGAGGAAGGGGCTCAGGGTTGATTCATGATGTACTCCAACCGTGATGCCTATTGTCCATGTACGACTCTCTATGACGTCTATGCCCGATGCTAGGCCGTGAGGAGTGCGAATTTTGTCGTGGACCCATCGTACATGCCCTTGTTCCGGGAGATCAGGTGTTCCAGAATGTTTCGCTCTTGGAGCGCTCTCTAGAAGGATTCTCGGGATAGACGACAATGTGTTCTTCTGATTGATGAGAGCTATTAGGTCGTGAAGAAAGTTCTTGCGGTTTTGCGCCTCGAACTTCAAATGCATATATCTCGGCTTGAACGAAACTTCATCAATCGAAATAACAACCATTACTATCGACACACTTTTGCTAACGAAAAACAAGTTCGAGTATCCCATTCGCATAGAAGTCCGGAAATCTAGAGACGATGAAATCGTCGAATGCCGCGGCAGCATCATGTTGGGTTTTGAAGCATTTCTCCTTGAGAAAGCGTCGAGATGTTTAAAGAAATGGTATTCTGTGGGGGTAAGGTCTGGGGAATATGGCGGATGCGGGAGAGCCTCATAGCCTAGCTCCATCAATTTTCTCAGGGTAAGTTGTGCGACGTGAGGCCGAGCGTTGTCGTGGAGTAGAATTGGCCCCCTCCTATTCGCCAGTGCCGGACTCATGAGCTGGAGTTTTCGATGCATTTCGTCAATTTCTTGGCAAAACTTTTCGGCTGTTACGGTTTCTCCCGGATCCATGAAGCTGTGGTGGATCAGCCCGACTGCAGACCACCAAAGAGCACCATGGCCTTCTTTCCATGCTGCTTCGGCTTGGGAAAATGTCGTGGGGCTTGATCCTTGTACAGCCACTGGCCTGATCGTCGCCGGTTGTCGTACAGAATCCTTTTCTCACCATACGTCACAATACGGTCTAGAAATGGATTGTTCCTGTTGCGCAGAAGCAAGGCGGAGGCGAGCTCGTAGCGGCGGTCTTTCTGGTGCTGAGTCAACTCATGCGGCACCCACTTATCGAGCTTCTTCTACTTCCCGATCTCCTGCATGTAGATGCCAACCGTCCTGCTAGAAACACTCAATCTTGAGCCAATATCCTTCAGCGTTGTACGTGGATTCTCTTCCACTAACGCTCTCAATTGTTCGTTGCCAACGGCCGATGGCCGCCCACTGCGCTCATCATCTTCCAGGCTCTTATCACCGGTACGAAATTTTTCAAACCACCACTGTGCTGTGCGTTGATTCATCGTACCTAGATCTAAGTCATCGTTTATAAATATCCCTGTCCGTTTCCGTCGCACTCCTGCCCAATTTGGATTGGAAAAGAAAAATCATGCGGATCTGTCGTTTGTCCATGCTGATTTCGGCCTTCTAAAAAACCCCAGGATCACTCCAGGGCAAAACCGATTATATATTTGGATAGAGCGAGAAATGCGCTTCAGAATGGTATAAAACTTGCAAAAAATCTAATAGCAAATAACATCGCGGCGAGCATTTGAAAATTGGGCGTCAAAAACCGCAAGAACTTTCTTCACGACCTAATACTTAGCAGGGTCTACACTTTTCTTGATATTCCTCCATGACATGTTCAGCTACGAGGATGGTATCCGAAACGAGCTACTTTCTTTAACCTTGTATCGACTAACCGCCCGTTCAAATTCATCCTGTGTGCAGTTAGTCTGATCCCAAGGTAGTTGGAACAGTTCATCGCATGCCCCCCTGCTTGAAGATGGGAACGATTGGACTGCACTTCCACACATCCGAAATAATTTCATCAGTGTTCACGGCGTTCAGTAACCGGGTGAGCCTCCTGATCCCATGTTCTACTACATTCTTTCGTGCATAGATTGGGAACCCATTCAGTCCAGTTGTTTTCCCAACCTTCATATTTCCGATTGCCCGACGTATCTTATATTCTGTCCAGTGTGCAATGGACCGGACTGTCTCTTACATCTGGAACTGCCTTCCAAATTCCTCGTCGAGATACCTGTCTAATTATTCTTTTCATCTACGCCTCCCCAGATTTCCTCAGGGTTGCATCGTTGCTGTCCTTTACGGCCCTCACAACTATGATGGGTTAAGTGGCCCGGCGCTGTTCTTTAGCCAGTCTGAAGACGAACTTCTTCATTCTAGACCTTCGTTTCCGTTCCGTGTTCTTTGCTCTTGCCATAGAAGTCTTAGCGAGCCCTAGGCAACTCCATAGAGCTAGGAAATGAAGCTCCCGTCTCAATCTAGCGCTTATGAGCGCCTCTCTTCTGCTTAATTATACCTTGGACTTCATTGTTCCAGAACCACGCTGCCCTGTCTCTTCTGAACCCACCCCGCGTCTGACCAGTCGTTGCTTTTGCACTTTTCAGGATGACCGGGTTTGCTGCACTGGCCCCAAATCCGGAAAACTAGTTTCAAAGACCTTCCCCTGATACCAACCCGGTATTTTGGTGCACATCAACGGAGCAAGCAAATTCTTCGCCCCTTGTTGTCCTTGCTCTCTTCGAGAGCTTGATGGTTATGGGCAATTTCGTATCAGATAGAGCCTTGATAAACTCTACAGTATTAAAAGACGAGCTTACTAACAGACGTTTAATTGCCGTTGGACTTCCTCTGTTGCTGCAGGTTCCCCACCGAGTCTCCTTTTTCGCGATTGATGCGCTGCATACCACCAGGCCGTGGGCTGTAACCGAGTTGAGGGCTCTTTCTCCTTCTACGGTCAGGACTCCTAGTCCTCTACCTCTGTGAATCCGGAAGTTCCCTCCCGCACTTCCAACGTGGTCATTCAGATCACCTGCTATGGTGACTTCCAAAACTGATGCGACGGCCCCTTCCTTCTGCCTCTTGAGTAGAACTCGCCCTTCTCGTGCTCGGGGAGTCCGGCTACATCATCGGGCGTACACCGACGGGCGCACACCGACGTTACTGTCCAGTACCCCCTTCTGACACTAGCCCCACAACTATGATTCCACCACTGATCCTGTTGACGGCTAAGGCAGACTCTTTGAGGGCCTCGACGACCACTATGAACACATCATTACGTTTGGTGTCTTCTACGATGTAGTAGAGCTTGACAGGTTCCCCGATCTCTCTGGTTCTTGCTCCTTTACAGCGTGTCTCCTAAAGAGATAGGACTTAGACGTTCCTGCCCTCTACGAGGTCAGGAATCTTTCAGAGCTTCTCAGTGCGCAACCCAACGTTAAGAGTCACGATTGAAATAACTTCTATGGCCGTGATCGTTAATTTCTCGTGGCCCTTACTTGGCATGCACACAGGACTCTGTGCACCACTTCCGGGTGACGTTCTATCTTCATAACTAACTCCTTTTGTGACTTCAACCATCTCTGTTTATAGATAAGGCGCGTATATGTGTCAATTTGGGCATTTCTACATTCGCTCGTTTGGAACAGCGCGGCAAAATGCGGATGAATTCAATTTTGATGACTCCGTGAAATTGTTGTAGCCGTGTGTGTTGTGCATGTATGTACATATGTGTGGTGTGTGGGTTTGAATATAGGTGGGAACGGTTGTGCATGTGTGTGTTTGTGTGCTTGAATGTAGGTGGGTGTGCATGTGTGGGTGGGTGTGTTTAAATGAAATTTTTAAATTGAGTATAGATGTGTTTGTCTGTGTGTGCTTGAATATAAGCGTGTGTATTCGTGTGTGTGTCCGTGTGTGCGTGTGTATTTAAATGTAGGTGTGAGTATGTTGTGCATGTGTGCGTGTTTGAATACAGATGTGTGTATGTGTGTAAGTGTGTACGTACGTATGCATGTATGTGTGTGTGTCCGTCCATGTGTGCGTGTGTGTTTGTGTGAGCAAGTGTGCGTGTAGATATGTGTGTATGTGGTGTGTGTGTGTGTGTGTGTGTGTGTGTGTGTGTGTGTGTGTGTGTGTGTGTGT